TACTAGAGTGCCCACATAGTATGTCCTCAGTTCAATCTGTAACACCACCCCACAAAAAAGCCAAAGGAAGCCAGGTACCATTGGCTCACGCCTGTAATCCTAGCTACTCAGGAGGCTGAGATCTGAGGATCACAGTTCAAAGCCAGCCCGGGCAGGAAAGTCCATGAGACTCTCCAATAAACCACCAGAAAACTGGAAGTGGCACTGTGGCTCAAGTGATAGAGTACTAGCTTTGAGCTGAAGAGCTCAGGGACAGTGCTCAGGCCAGAGTTCAAGCCCCACAATGGACAAAAAAAAAAAAAGGCAAAGGAGTTGGTCATCTTTATAGAATCTGGTTTTAACTGAAAGCTTATTTATGCTTGTAGAGGAAAAGTGATTGAGGCTGTCCTTGTTCACAGATAATGTCCATAGTAGAAAACAAAAAAGTTTCCTTTGGAATCTAAATTGCTATGTTAAATTGGCCCAGAACAAAAAAGGCTATTTGCCTTTGATATTAGATTCACCACTAAGTCAAGTTCATCTTGCCTTCATTGTGACTGGCATTGTAACTGGGGGGCGGGGGGGGGGAGCTGATGAGGGGAGAAAGGGGGGGGCGAGAGACCATGTTTCTCCAGTAGTCTCTGTCTCTGTCTCTGTCTCTTTCTCTCTCTCTCTCACATACACACATACACATACACACATAAACACATATACACACAGAGGAAGCCTACTGCTCATTGCCATGGCCACAAAATCGTTTGGGCCAAAAGAAAACCCTAGTTTCTTCAGAACAGCTCAGGAGGAAGCTTTGTCTTCAAATATATCAAGTCAAAGCAGTAAAGGAAAATGAATGTAAAGCAAACTGCTTGGGAAGCAATAATATCGGGAGTGAGAAAGGGAAGGAAGGAGTCGGGCATATCAAAAGTCACAGACATTGACTTAAAAAGCAAACCCAATTCCTGCACATTAAATTCTACTTGAACGTAGACATGAATGAAAAAGGAAGTAGTTTAAATGCGTTGGGACTGGATGGTGTCCACATGTGATCCAAACCCAGCACACATTAAGCATGGGACATTGTGTGTATATGTTTGTGTACATGTGTATAAAAGAAAGCAAACTGTGTTGGATTTGAAACACACACACACACATAGACACAGACACACACACACACACACACACACACACACACACACCACTCCTTTATGTCTCAGGGCACAATACAAATTGTTTTTCAAGACCTGTAATATGAACTCAGCCCAGACACAGGGCATTGGCTATGCAACTGCTCTTAGCCTGAAGTGTCAGTCTATCGAAGCTGCTATAACAAAATACCTTACGTGGGGTAAGTTACAAACAACAAAAATTTAGTGCTCTTATTTCTGGTTACTGAGAAGTCTGAAGTCAAGGCATCCATCTGTTTGGAGTCCTTTGAGAGCTTGTTCTCCGCTCCACCGAGGGCATCTTACAAACGGAGCCAACAAGTTTCCTCAGGCCCCTTTTACTAAGGCACAAATCCTATTCATGAGGATTCTAATCACCTCCTAAAATGCTCTCTAGGGGTTTTCAACATTTCCATTTGGGGGAAACACAGACATTCAGTTATAACTTCAGATTCCTCTGAACCACAGCCAAGTCCATCTTACGCTCAATTTCCCAACAATTGCTGTCCTGTTGGTAGTGTTAAAATTCATCAGCAAAGTGAAGTAACCAGGTCCAAAGAAACATAGGTCCCATGGTTTCCCTTATTTCCAATAACTAGTATATGTCTAGGACAAGCAGAAAGCTATGTACATATGACCATATAAGATGATGTTAAGTGAAATGAACCCCAAGTTAGGGACACAAGTCATTTTTTTTCTTTCTTGCTCTTGTTTTTAACGTATTTAAAATGTACTATGTGATTTTTTTTGTTTCTCTTGTATGTTCTTCCCCCACAGTATAATCCCTGTTTTCACTGTATTTGATGTCTGTGTCCTGCATCTAATTTGGGAAGGGAAGGGAAGTAACAAAATGCTGAAATAAGGCTACAGGTTGACCCACTGTAACAATGAGATGTACAAGAAACTATGTTGAAAACTAACTTTATAACTGGGGGTGGGGGGTGGGAGGGAAGAGTTGGGGAGGTGGGGAAGGAATGGATGATAGGGGAGGAGGTAACAATGCTTGATAGGACATGGACTCATTATCTTACTCATGTAACTGTAACCCCTCTGTACAGTATTTTTACAATAAAAAAATTTAAAAAACAAAAAAAATTCATCAGCAATCTAATGAATCTGCAATAAGACCAAAAGAACTAGAACTTCAAAGTATATCACATATATTATAACAAAAACATGTATTTAATAATACAATATATATGATAAATATATAAGTATATATACAAAAACATAAGTATATCTTAAAGAAAAAGAGTGCTATTTATGAAATGTCTATATGTGACTGATTCTCCAGTGTTCTAGCAGTCACATTTGACTCTGTGAGCTTCATAATTCATCATCATCATCCTTTTAAAATGAAAACATTAGGGCATTGAGTAGCTTATTCGAGGTCACTCAGCTCATAATCAGCAGACTGGGTAAAAAATTAGGATCTGTGTTTGTACCAGATTTTCTGCACAAATGTATCAGTGATGAGAATTTTTCCAGTTACTTTTACACTGATCTGTTCTATCTTAAGACACAGAACCACTGTGTCTTAAGATCTTGCCCAGCATTGGAAATACCTCATCTTTAGGAATTTATTTGCTCAAGCAGTTTCTATCCTCTCATTTAATTCTCACAATGTTCCCCCATTTTATAAATAATAAAAATTTAAACACAAAGATGCTAAGTGTTTTCCATAAAGAAACTAATAAATGTGTGAGCAAGCCTTTAAACAGGAATCTTCTTACTCTCAATGCAATATTTTAATACACAGGTGGGAGCTCGCCTAAGACTGTGGGGATTAGTGAACAAAAGCGTCAGAGAAAAACAGTGTAATTAAAGGGGAAAAAAGGTTTAAAATGAATTCCAAAAGGTTATTCACCATCCTCAAGCCACCTGCCTGCCAAATAACCAACACCAGCTTTACTGTGGCCTCTTGGCCTTTTAAGAACATCAATAAAAACATTAAATTTTTATATGCTTTAATTTTTTTCATTGTTTCAAAATACTATGGATACTGTTTGCAATTAAATTTATTTCTCTTTATCCTTGTTCCAAGTGAACCACATAAATCTAATTACTTTTAAACTATGAGTTGAGTTCTGGTGACTCCCGCCTGTAATTCTAGTTATCAGAAGCCTGAGATTTGAGGATCATTATTTGAAACCAGCCCTGGAAGGTAAATCTATGAGACCCTTAAATCTCCAATTTACCAGCCAAAAGCTGTAAGTGGAGCTGTGACTCAAGTGTAAAATGCTAGTCTTGAGTGGAAAAAGCCAAGTAAGAGCTTGTGGTCCTAAGTTCAAGTCCCACTACTGGCACAAAAAAAAAAATTAAAATAAGAAAGAATTTACATCTAACCATGTTTAAAAAGCGTAGTGATCAAGTCACTGAGCATTTCTGGATCACCAGTACACGCTAATACTGTGTGGTGTGTGCTTGAGTTCCAGCAATGAACAAAACAGACCCAAACCAAAAAAATCTCACCTTTACTTTTCTGCAGTTTGCCAGCCACACATTTTCTTTCTTTCTTTTTTTTTTTGGGGGGGGGGGGGGGGGCGGCGGTCGTGGGGCCTGAACTCTGGGCCTGGGCGCTGTCCCTCAGCTCTTCAGCTCAAGGCTAGCGCTCTACCACTTGAGCCACAGCCCACTTCCGGCTTTTTTCTTTTTTGCTTATGTGGGGCTGAGGAATCGAACCCAGGGCCTTGAGCATGCAAGGCAAGCGCTCTACCACTGAGCCACCTTCCCAGCCCCCAACACATTTTCATTGTTATGTTTTAGCATGTGTTCGCCAAAGTGGCAAATAACTCACTGTTTTAATAGTTGCATAACATTCTATAGTATAGAATATAGTGTCAGTATATGAGAGTTTATTCAAACGTTTGTTTATTGGTTGACATTCCACTTAGGCTTTGTTTGAATTTTGAAAGCAATTGGCATAAGTATTGCATACTCATATCTGCACATATAGACAGTTTATTATGTCTGAAGAAACGTAGTCTAACTTGGGTAACTAAAATGTTATAGACAGAACCTCTTTCCCCAGACCCCCCCATCCTTCTTACTAACCCTCCACTCCCCAGGTGTGCTCCGCGGCTCTGGTACTATCCACCTGCGTGGTGCTGACGCAGCTACTCCTTGTCAGCCCTCTGAAACCTGTCTCTGCCCCAAGGCACTTGGTCTCTGTGGCTCCCTACGCCGGCCAGTCAACAACCAGCCTCTGCCCCAAAGACTTTGAAACCACACTTACCATGCAAGTCTAAGCTCGGTGTAGACCCCAGCGCCTGGTCAGTAATCCTTTGACCTATCTTTGCTCTAGACCATTGCCATCCACTTTGCCTTAGGTATATGGCTTTTACAGGCCTGATAATGCCTCCTTCAAGACCTGTGTAAGTATATGCAATAGATTATACAGTCATTCTTGAGACAAAGTATGTATAATGGAGAGGTGTCACTTCTTGAATAGCCCCCCCCCCCACCCGCCTGCCTTCTAGCCTTCCTTCCTTTCTTCCTCTCTTCTCTCCCTCTCTCTCTTTCCTAATCTAGTGTGGCCCTGAGTCCACCACAATAGAAGGATCTCTGCTCTTTCCCTCGGCTACTTCCCCTAAGCTTCGGAAAGTCTCCTATTTCCTGAAATTTAAATCAGTAGTTAGCAGTTTCCTATCCCACTTCCCGTCTCCCGCCTCGGGCTGTCTCCTCTCAGCCTCCTCCAGCCAACCCGGGACCCGATGCTCCAGCCACCGGGTCCCCATCCCTCGGCTGACTCGGACTGTACCCAGACTGGGGAGTCGTCTTCATGGGGGTGGTCTCCAGTTTAACCCCAGGTGTCTGCGGGCTTCCCATCCTCCTCCCCCTGCACCCCTCACTCCCTCCGGGAGCTGTACGAGGAGGAGCCTAAATGTCTGCTTCACCAGCAGAAAGGGATTGTGGTGCGTAAACAGGATTAACTCTCTCCGCCCCGGCGGTGCAGATTTGCGCAGCGGCCTGCGGGTCGGAGCGTGTGTCCGCAGGGCGCGGCGCGGGGAGCTGGAGGGGGATGGGGCGGCCCGCGGCCTCGGAGCTGTCCCCGGGATCAGCTTCCTTGCCCGGTGCAAACGGGGATACCAGCCTCCCCGGCCGCAGCTGCAGAGCCCGGGTGGACGGCGACGATCGCTTCTAGCAGCCGCCTCCCCCTCCCTCCCCGCGCGTCCTCTCCGCCCACCGCGCTCCAGCCTCTCCATCGCAGCCCAGCCCGCGCTTGTCACCCGCGCCCTCGGAGCCGCCGTGCCAGTCCCTCGGCCAGCCATGGGGGACCTGCCGGGCATCGTGCGCCTCTCCATCGCGCTGCGCATCCAGCCCAATGATGGCCCGGTCTTCTTCAAGGTAGACGGGCAGCGCTTTGGCCAGAACCGCACCATCAAGCTGCTCACCGGCTCCTCCTACAAGGTGGAGGTCAAGATTAAGCCCACCACGCTGCAGGTCGAGTGAGTGCAGGGCGCGCCGCGGCTGCAGGGAGGTCCTGGAGGGTACGGGTGCAGGTGGTAGCCCACAGGGACACCCTGAGCTTCTCCGGGGCCCCTTGGGTCTCGTAGTGCGCCCAGCAGGCCCCGGGTGGGGCTAGGAGGTCGGTTTCCTGTTCCCCCATCCTCCCCCGCCCCCGCCGGTCCTCTCCTGGGCCCGAGGCTGGTATTCCACCATTCTCGCTTCCCTCCACCATCTCAGTGCATCCGTTTAAATCGGCGACAAGAAGCCAGGGTTGGGGTTTAGTTTTTATTTGATTTCTCATTGATTCGCCTTGTGTTCAACCCTCGGTTTGGAACCTCGGGGAGCCGGGTTGGGGCCGATAGGAAAAGGCCGGGAGGGGGCTCACCTGCTGCAACCCTCTTCTGCTGGGTTCTGGCATCCCTCTAGGGTCTGCGGGTGAGGCTGAAGGAAGAAGGAAGGCTGGAGAATGAGGTAGAAAAGCATGGGAGGGGGAGAGGAGGGGCTGTATCGGAGCTCTCTGGGGGATGCTCCTCATCCCTCCACCCGTGGCTTGGTGTCAGGGAACCCCAGGGTTAGAGCAGGAGGCACAAGTTAGAGGGTGCAGTCTCTGCTTAGGCCTAGCTCTAAGGTTTTCCATGATGGCACCTTTCTCCCGACTTGTCTGCTCAGCCTAAGAATATTGCCTGGGATTACTTTTATTTGGGGAGTTATTTGTGGCAGAGATTATCTCCTTCCAGCCACGAAGGAATGATGCAACCAGTAGACCTCTGGAGAGAAAAGTCAGTGTAGAACAGGCCAGTGGCCAATGGAGGAAGAACTCATGGGTGGGTCCTTTATCTCTCTGTATCAAACTACCTCTGGAAGGACACAAAACACTATCTTATCTTCCATATGCTGAGGGACAAGAGGGCTTTAATCTATAAAACACTTTGTGGTCTGTTTTAATGCAGTGAATTTGTGTTAACCTCTTCGGTGCAAGGATCTGGAACTATACATGAATGATGACTGGTATTCCTGGTCCATCCACTTATCAGCACCCTCACAATTTCATGAACCCCTTGCCTTCACGTTTCCAGATGGTCTCTGTCCCTGGGTTATAATCTAGGTTTCCCTTCCCCTGCTTTCCTGGTTACCTTGCTCCTGATTTGTCAGTTCTACATCCCATATTCTTCTGGTTAGCACTCTGGATGTCTAGTTTTGTTAAAAAGCAAATTTAGGCCAGGTGAGGGTGGCTCACACCTATAATCCTAGCTAGTCAGGAGGCTGACTGCAGTTCAAAGGAGCCCGAGCAAGAAAGTCAGTGAGACTCTTATATCCAATTAACCACCAGAAAACCGGAAGTGGCACTGTGGCTCAAGTGGTAGAGTGCTAGCCTTATGCTAAAGAGCTGAGGGACAGCACCCAGACCTAGAATTCAAGACCATGACCAACAAAAAAAAGGGGGGGAGGGCAAATTTAAACATGGTTGTTCTGCCTGCAATCCAATCAATAATATATGGCAAGACCTTATCTTCCCAAAAAATCCAGAAATAAAAATTAGAAGATGAAAACAAATTTAACGACAAAACTAGTTATGCTTTAGGATTTCTCAGTGCTATAATCTAATGGTTCTCACACCTGAATATATCATAGAAGCACTGAAGAACTTGTTGGAACTGATGCCTGGGGCCTACCACAGTGCTTTGAGTTTGCTCTGTCTAGGATAAGGCCTAGATGTTTGTGTCTTAGTAGATCCCAAAGTGATGATGATATGGCTGGTCCAGGAACTCTTCATTGAGGACCATTATCCTAACACAAAGGAATGAAGCCAGTGAAAATTTCCATTGGTGAGGCAAGCATGAAGAAAGGCACTCCAAAATATAGGACCCCTGATGACTGGGAAATCAATAGAGATCTAGATCACCTGTTGTTCACCCTATATCTGTGAGTCTCCTAGAAAACACTAAAATAAATTTACCAATGCCAAACTATACCCGAGTCTGATCTTTTTATGGAGGGGGGGGGGGTACTTACCAGTAAGTTTTTGATAGCTCCATAGATTATTTTAAGGAGTTACTAAAGAGAGGAACCACTGGTAGAGCCCCTTATGGCCTCATACAAGTTTTCTGGATGAGAATAATGAGATCATTTCATAGAGGAAGTGGTCTATGGTTATGTGACTAGTCAGATAGAGAATTCTAGTCTACTGAACTTTCATAATACAGTGTCTCCCCCAGCTAGACCCTCTAGGTTTTCTGCCTGGGATTTTGGTCCAGATCAGGAGAGGGTACCAAAGGTAATTCATACTATATATGGTCAACTCAAGTCCATTACAGGAACATTTCCATTGGTGGTGTACTGGTCCCACTGGAACTGAAGTCTAAAGAGCCTGATGGGGACAGAGTTGTCTACACGGGCACGTATGACACAGAAGGAGTAGCCCCAACCAAAAGTGGAGAACGACAGCCCATCCAGATCACCATGCCGGTAAGACCTGCTTGGGGGAGGGGGAGCTCAGGAAACTGTAGAAAGAGAAATAATCACTATCTCTTTTAAGAAGAAGTGTACTACAGCCAATTACTAAGGGAATTAGGTTGAGTTTACTTTTTGAATCTGCTGGGGAGAGTACTAATAGTATGTATAGTACTAATACTATGTAACATAGTTTGGCCTGATGACAAACTAACCCTATAGATGCTTACAGACACAAAAGATGGTTTTAAGAGAGACTATAGTAGATATATTACCATTTTTCCTCTTACAATGTGTAATGGAATTTTCCAATAATTGACTCTGAAAAGTTTTTTTAAACCTTTTAATTTTTTAAATTAGGAAACAATGTATAAGAGTTTCATTGTGACATTTCTACACATATATATAATGCATTTCAATCAATCTCCTTCTATCACTCTCCCTTACCGCCTTTTCCTCCTTCTCAAAACAATTTCCACAGATTTCATTGTTCTATTTTCATGCACATAACTAAGTTACCTCAACCATATTCATCCTCATTCACCCTTTCATTAATCCTTCTGCCTCCTGCTGGTAACTCCATCTCCAACAGAGCCTGCTTTACTTTCCTGCCATTCATTTCTTCATGTGTATTGATGGCACCAAAAAAGTTCCACCATGATATTTCAGATATTTTCTCTTTCCCTGACAACCAACCTCCCACTAATCAAGAGCTTTTTTTTTTTTTTTTTTTTTTTAAACAGTCATGGGGGCTTGAACTCAGGACCTGGGTACTGTCCTGTCCCATCTCTGTACTTTTTTTGCTCAAGGCTAGTGCTCTACCATGTTGAGCCACAGCTCCACTTCTAGTTTTCTGGTGATTAAATGGAGATAAGAGTCTCACTGCTTTCCCTTCCCCAGGTTGGCTTTGAACCAAAATTCTCAGATCTCAACTTCCTGAGTAGCAAGGTTTACAGGCAGGCATGAGCCACAAGTGCCCAGCTGATCAATAGCTTTTATTAAGAATCCTATGTCAGGGCTGGGAAGGTGGCTCAGTGGTTGAGTGGTAGAGCGTTTGCCTTGCATGCATGAGGCCCTGGGTTCGATTCCTCAGCACCACATAAGCAAAAAGAAAAAAGCCGGAAGTGGTGCTGTGGCTCAAGTGGTAGAGCGCTAGCCTTGAGCTGAAGAGCTGAGGGACAGCGCCCAGGCCCAGAGTTCAGGCCCCACGACCGGACCCAAAAAAAAAAAAAAAGAATCCTATGTCAGCCAGACACTGGTGACTCACGCCTGTAATCCTAGCTAGTCAAGAGGCTGAGATATGAGGATTGTGGTTCAAAGCCAGCCCTGGCAAGAAAGTCCATGAGGTTCTTATCTCCAATAAACCACCAGAAAACTGGAAGTGACCCTGTGGCTCAAGTGGTAGATCGCTAGCCTTGAGCTGAAGAGCTGAGGGACAGTGCCCAGGCCCAGAGTTCAAGCCCCATGACAGACAAGAAAATTCTATGTCATCTTTGTACATAGTTGCTCTAAATGTCAACATTATTGAGCCTCTATCATGTTTTTTCCTCCTCCCCTCACTCCCCTAAATAAACTTAAGAGTCAAGTGTCTCTGTACAGTATTTTCACAATAAAAAACTTATTAAAAAGAGTTAAGTGTTACATAAATATATAAATTTATGAATATGGGTATGCACACATGCATGAATACATATGTCTTTTAATTCTAGCTTCCACATATGAGAGAGCTTGGCTTGTCTCACTCAACATAATGTTCTCTAATTCCATCCATTTTCCTGCAAATAACCTGATTTGATTCTTTATGTCTACATATTCCATGCCTTCTCTGTCTTCCTTATTCATTCATCTGTTGTTGGCATCTTAGCTTATTTTACCATTTAGTTATTGTCCATAATGTTGCAATATACATATGTATACAGGTATCTCTTGAATAATTGATTTACATTCCTTTAGATACATTCCTAATAGTGATATGGTGGAGTCATAAGGTAAATCTATTTCTAGTTTTTGGGGTTTTCTTTGAGGATCCTTCATACTGATTCCATAGTGGTTGCACTAGTTTGCATATCTACTAACAGTATATGAAGGTTCCAGCATGTATTGTGGTTTTTGTTCTTGATGATTGCTATTCTGATTGGGGTGAGATAGAATCTTAGTGTTTTGATTTGCTTTTCCTTTATGGCTAAGGATATTGAATATTTCTTCATATCTATTAGCAATTAGTATTTTCTTCTTCTTCTGAGAACTGTCTGTTCAATTCACTTGTCCATTTATTTGTGTGTGTGTGTGTGTGTGTGTGTGTGCGTGTGTGCGTGCGCGCGTGTGCATGCATACATGCATGATTCAGTCCTGAGGCTTAAACTCAAGGCTGGGTGATGTCCCTAAGCTATTTTGCTCAAGGCTAGTATACTACTGCTACTTGTGATACAGCTTCATTTCTGGCTTTCCTGCTTGGGCTGGCTTTAAATTGCAATCCAGAGATCTCAGCCTCCTGAGTAGCTTGGGTAATAGTTGTGAACCCACCAGAACCCAGCCATTTATCCATTTATTAATTTATTTATTATTTGCTGAACTCTTTAGCCTCATTTCACAATTCTGTGTGTGTGTATGTATGTATGTGTTGGTTGGTACTAAGGCTTGTGCTTAGGACCTCATGCTGTCACTGGGCTTTTGCATTTCCACTTGAACCTAACTCTAGTTCTGGCTTTATGCTAGCTAACTGGAGATAAATATCTCTTGGATTCATCTCCCTGGTTTAATTCTGAACCAAGGTTCTCAGATCTCAGCCTCCTAAGTAGCTACAATTATAGGTATGAGTCATTAGTGCAGCTCCCTTTCACAATTCAAGTTCTTGCTTTCTGAACAACTGGACTTCTATTCAGGAAATTATTGCCTGTGCCTATAACATCTAGAGGTTTCTTCCCCCACCCCTTTTCCTATGGTAAATTTAATGTTTCAGGCCTTGCTTTGAGCTCTTTGATGCACTGAAAGTTGGTTTTAGTAAAGTATGAGACAGAGAGGTCACATTTCAGTCTGCAAATAGATAACTGGTTTTTCCCAGAACATTTTTGTTAAAAAAGCTGTCTTTTCTCCAGCGCATTTTGGTTTGGTTTGGTTTTGGGTTTGGGGGTTTTTTGTTGTTGTTGTTGGGTTTTTTGTTGTTGTTTGTTTTTATTTTTTGTTTTTTATCGGTTCTGGGCCTTGAACTCAGGACCTGGGCTCTGTCCTAAGCCTTTCTGTGCTCAAGGCTAGTGCTCTACCACTTGGACCACAGAGCCCCTTCTGGCTTTTTCTGAGTAGCTTATTGGAGATAAGAGTCTCGTGGTCTTTTCTGCTGGGGCTGGCTTTGAACTGTGATCCTTAGATCTCAGCCTCCTTAGTACTTAGGATTACAGGCATGAGCCACTGGCCCCTGGCTCAATGTATGTTTTTTACTTCTTTGTTGAAAATTATATTGCTGTAGCTGTGTGGTTTTATTCCTATATCTCATGGGGTTTGTTGGGTTTTTTGTTGTTGTTGTTGTTTTTGCTATAACTAGCTCCTTTTGTTACTATGGCTCTGTAGTATAATTTGAAATTTTCTGTTTTCATCAGAATTGCTTTTGCTATGTGTAGCTGAATTTTCTATTTCTTATAAGTACCACGCTAACTGATTGTGCAACTGGAGCTCCATAATTTTTCTGTTTCTATGAAGAATTATAATGAGACTTTGAAGGGTATTGTATTGAATCTGTGGATTACTTTTGGAAGTATGACCATTTTCATAATCTAAATTCTACTAGTCTATTTGGATGCCATGGCTCATACCTTTAATCCTAGCTACTCAGGAGGCTGAGATCCAAGAATCAAGCCAGTCCAGGCAGGAAAGTCCTTGAGACTCTTATCTCCAATTAAACACTAAAAAGCCAGAAATGAAGCTGTGGCACAGGTGGTAGAACACTTGCCTTGAGCAAAAAAAAAAATGCTTAAGACAATGCCCACGCCCTGAGTTGAAGCCCCAGGACCAGCAACAACAACAACAATTCTACCAGTCCATGAGCATGGGAAGTCTTCCATTTTCTGATGTCTTCTTCAATTTCTTTCTTCAAAGTTTTGTAGTTTTCATTATAGACATCTTTCACTTCCTTGGCTAAGTTAATTCATAGGTATTTTATTGTGTTTGAGGCCACTGTGAATGGAATTATTTCCTGATTTCTTTCTTAGGCTGTTCATAGAAATAGAAAATCTACTAATTATTCAGTGTTTGTTTTGTATCCTGCTATATTTCCAATGGTGCTTATTAGATCTAAAAGTTTTTTGGTAGAGTCTGTATATACAGAATCATGTCATCTGCAAATAAGGATAATTTAACACATTCATTTCTTATATAAATCCCTTTTATTTCTCCTCTCATATTGCTCAGGATAAAAATTCTATAAACATGTTACATTAGTGTGAAGTACTCCTGTCTCATCTCTGACATGAGGGAAAATGACTTGTGTGTGTGTGTTTTGTTTTTTGGGTTGTTTTTTGTCGGTCATGGGGCTTGAACTCTGGGCCTGGGTGCTGTCCCTCAGCTCTTCAGCTCAAGGCTAGCACTCTACCACTTGAGCCATAGCACCACTTCCAGTTTTCTAAAGGTTTATTCAAAATAAGAGGCTCATGGACTTTCCTGCCCAGGCTGGTTTTGAACTGCAATCCTCAGATCTCAGCCTCCTGAGTAGCTAGGATTACAGGTATGAGCCACTGGCACCCGGCAAGAGGGAAAATGATTTGTTTCTTGTATTTAATATGATGTTGGATAAGTTTGTCATATGTAGACTTTATTCAGCTCAAGTACATCCCTTCTATTCCTAATTTCCACAGCGCTCTTATCATAAAAAGATGTTGAGTTTTGTCACAGGCTTTTTTTCTGCCAGCTGTGATAATCATGTGATTTGTTTTTTTGAATCCCTGACCCTGTTTGTGTGATATGTTGATTTATTGATGACATATGTTGAATCAGCTTTGCATTTCTGGGATTAAACTAGCTTGATC